CTTATAAAATATTTTATTATTATTTTTAAATTTTATAAAATATCAAGTTTTTTAATATATATTATTATATTATAATATATATTAGGCTTACTAATATATATTAGGCTTACTAATATATATTATTATAAATATAAATTATTATATAATAATGTGTATTATTACTAAATATATATTAAATTTAATTATTTAAATTGTCTTTAATGTGACTTTTCGACTATATTGAGCTCTGATATGTATTCGCCGGCGGATACGAATGTGGGCGTCCTGATACGGTATCACAACCCCCCCCCAGCGCCTGCATGGGACAATTAACTGGCTGTATGACATTTTGGTTGCCTTCCCAGCGATTGATAATACCGAAGACAGGCTTGCGTTTTCTTTTTCTTGGGTAGTGAGGAGGAAAGGCTGATTACCAAGTTCGAGGGTAGAGGTAGACTGTAATCATGATAATCGGTTAATTCTACTGCATTGCAGGGTGGTGGCTAAGCACTCCGGGGCATAAGATTAACACAAGATATGGAAGTAGATAGCTGCGGCGGGGAATGGTCTCAAAGAATCCACTAGGATATCCAGGTGGACTGCAGATAATTTGCAATAAGGCATATTGCGTCTCATTAATTTCCGACCCTGATGTGAGCCAGCCCTCGCGTATACTATTCAGAGTGGACTTCTCTACCTTGGTATAGTAGCTGCCAATAACGTGTCATGGTCTCTCGGAATCCCTGGATCTCAGGGATCTTGAAATATGGCAGGCACCTTGAAACTGTTGGCTTGAATGTTGTGCGGGTCTTGAGGCCAGATATTGTTCCCTGAGCAACCCTAAGTCTGATCCATGTTTCTATCCTCTCCCAACCCGACTTATTCAGACGTAAACCAGTCTAACGCGGACTCGCGCAACGATGCCTGGATACATTGTTCGCCTTGACCGTCAGTTCGCCCTATTCAAAATGTTACGTAGCCTATCGCCAAAGACATTCCCATCTTTTTAATATTGTAGACCCTGTGCTTGCAGTTGGGAGTCTCATCTTCCAAGGTTTTAATTAACCTGGCCCGTATGCCGCCATAAGCTGCGTACAAAAAAAGGACTAAGTACGTGGCCAGAGCCACAACAAGCTCGAGAAAAAAAGACCATTGGGGCAGGGCCCGCAGCCTCCAGGTGCCTGCTTTGTTGTAGTTGACATTGCTGACCAGCGAACTGTCGCTTCGAGGTGGCATATTCTCAGACTGAAGGAGTGTAGTGCTGAAATGGGTTGTTTTGTGACTTGTTATTCGCAGGCCATAGATGGGGATTTAACTGTTAATCAGACATCATACCCGATGGAAGCAAATAGGTCCTCGAAACCGACCCGCTAAGAAGTCTGCTCGCTGGCGGTTGTGGATGGTCGGTCGTAGGTCGCCTGGGCCAACAGGAACCCTATATTCCGACCTTCGATCGCACGTTCCCTCCCAGCGTCGGGAACGTGCTTTTCTATTGGGATTGGGCAGTCCACCGTGTTTTACGCGGGGCGTGAGTGATTCTCACACCCTCCCGATGACAAACCTCCTCGGGTACCACACGCAACCGGAGATGTTTGCACAGGAGACCGGGAAGGCTGCCCCATATGGTGATCTGCTCGTGACAGCGGCGTCAAACTCGCATGGCGCGGATGAGGTCCGAGGTCGGAATTTCATCCAGGATCAACTAAATGACATCCTTGGTAAGGACTTGCATTGGATCCCGGCCAAAAATGCGACGCCTCCTCGCACTAGAGTGGCTGTTTGACCGGAGTATGGACATTTCCAGGCGTAGGCTGGGTGTGCCAACCACCGCGGCCACGATAACCCCTACCCCTACGGCACAAAATCCAATTTATTGTCCTCATTGCGTTAAGAATAATTAAAATAGGACTTGAAGATAAGCATACCATAAATAGATGGCTGTGTATTAATAGTAATGGATCTTCTTTACCTGGGTCGTGGATTAGCTGCGGAAACGGGCTGTAAAGTAGTTTTTAAGTAGTTCTCACTGTCGATTCCACCTTCGGCATGGTGGCGGATATGTTATAATAAAGTAAGGAAGAGAGAAAAAGTAAAAGGGCGTAGAAAGGGGTAAAAAAAGGTTTTAAATAAAAATTCTTGGTGGTTTAAAGTACTCTCTTTATTTAGTAAAAGTAGTATAAGGCCTTGTTAGTATTAGTGGCTGTTATATTTAATTTATAACTAAAGTTATAAGTAAAGTTTAAAAATAAGCTTGGGTAAGCTAAGCCACTATGTCATGCGACTAAACTAGCTATAGTAACCAGCAAACAAGTCGGGCCGAGCTGTTCTCTGCCCATCAAGTTATTCTGTCCAGGTATTGATTATTGGACGCCCGGAGGGCCGGCGCCCGGGACACGCCTATCCTTACTAGGACTAGTATAGCAGGTGATAATTAAAGTTTTTTTATAATTTACTGCTTACTATATTTAAATAATTTAAAGGTTTATTATAAATAATATTATTAGCTAGTTATTAGGTTATAAGCCCTTAAACTTTTTATTTATTTAATATATTTTTTACAACTTTTTTAAGTACTTTTATAAGCTTTAAAACTTTTAATTAGTACTATTCTATACTTTTTATATTTTTTATATTTTTTAAAGTATAATATTTAATACTTATTATTTATAAATTAATAAAATCATAATTTTTTAACTAATTAAAATATAATATCTAAAATAGTAAACCCTTAACAAGCTATTTTTATTATAAAGAAATCTTAATAAATACCTTAGCTAGTTGATTTTTATTATTACCACTATAGTGTTGCAATTGCGTAGTGTTATAATAATACAATCAGTTTTAGAGCCTTCATCGCGCTTTGCTTATTTGTATGCGTTGTTATCTTACTGTTCAAGTTGAAGATACCATAGCATTAAATATTTAAGGCTTACAAAGCAGGATTATATACTTAAATAATATAAATTAATCTTGGATAATCTCAGACCCCAAGCCTAGACTTCCAGAGTGGTGGAGAGTTAATTTGTTATTACTGTTATTGTGTTGCAACTGCGCAGTGTTGTAATAATATAATCTAGCGGCCTGAGGCCGCTAAATAAAAAAAACTTTAGCACTAAACTAGCCGCGCGCTAAGGTAGCAGCTAGTTATATAATATATAAAATATAAGTTTAATTTAAAACCTTAACTTAAAAAATTAGTAATTAATTTTTATTATAAATATATAATACCTTTTTTATTATAATAATTTATATTTTTTAAAGCTTAGTATAGTATATAACTATAACTTATAATTTTAATTTTTTTTTAAAAAAAAAAACTTATTTTATATAATAACTAGGTAATAAACTTAATTTTAAGGGCTAGTAAATAATATTTTAAAAAAATAATTATAAACCTTAACTTAATAATTAACTAATATACTTAAAGAAATTTATAAACTTTTAATTTAAAAATCTTAAGGGCATCCTTATTATTAAATCCTAAATTATATAAAAAATATTAAAATATAAAATACCTGCCCAGGGGTAAAAACATAAAAATAATAAAAAAATTATAAAAAAATTATAAGTAATATTAAATATAATTTTAATAAAAAAAAAGATATTATAAAAATAAGAATAGTATAAAAAAATATTAATAAATTTATACCTAAATTCAAAAGGCATGCTAATAAATTATAATAGCTAAAGCTAATTAATAAATATATAATATACCTTTTTAATTCATTAAGTAATTAATAGTCCCGCGTTAAATAAACTTTAATAACCTTATAATTTTAACAAAATTATTAAAAGACTAGTTATAATAATAATAGTATAACATAAGAAAAACTTTTTAAAAAAATTACTATTTATAAAACCATACTAAGTAAATAATATTAAAAAATTTAATAATTAAAAGCTAAATATAAAAATATATTTTAAAACCTTTTTATCTTACTACCTAAGTAACACCCGTAAAATATCTTAATTTATTAAATTTTTAATAAAAAATTACTAATAAAAATAATTTAATATTTATAAAGTAAAAATTTTATTTACCTAAAAAAATTTTAATATATTAATTAAAATAATTAATAATAAAATAGTGCTGGTTAATAATTTATTAATTAAATAAGGTAATATAACGTAATAAATATAGTAAATTATTAGGTAATTTATATAATTACTAAATTAAATTAAAAAATATTTACCTTATAAGTATAAAAATAATTAACATAAAGAACACTTATACTAAAAAATCTTAAAAAATATATAAAAAAAAGTTTTTTATTTATAAATACTAAAAGCTAAAGCGCTATAATAATTATATATTAGAGAGTGTCTGCCACGTAGGCTTAACAGCAGGCTTAATTTAATTTAGCTTAGCGCGCCCGAGGGCCGTCCTAATTAGGAAGGTAGTTTAAAAAATTAAGCATGTAGTAAGTTTATTAAGCATGCCTATTACTTAATTTTTTTAGGCTTAGCGCGGCGCTAGCGCGGTTAAGTAAGTATTATATTTATTAGGTTTTTATAACATGTTTTAATATTTTAAAAAAATTATTTTATACTAAAAATTATATATAAAGTAACTTTTATATTATAAATAATACCTAAAGTTTATTTATTAAAATACTTCTTAATTCTTAATAGTAATTAATATAATTTTTAATTAATTTAATACCTATATTACTGCCGTTGCCTGGGCCACTAGTAATACCTTAAATAATAATTTAAATAATACCTTAATAACCTATTTTTTATATTAATTTTTATTACCTTACTATGCTAATAGCCTTTTTAATAATGCAGGTACTTATAATACCTTTTAATTTTATAGCATGAGCTAGTACCACACTTTTAGCATGGCTAAAAGTAAAAGGTACCCAGGCTAACTTTTAGGCTAACCCTTAATTATTTTAGTAAATTACTATGCCTAAAGCCTTTTTACAGGCGCAGGTACCTTTAGCACCTTTTATTTTTACAGCGCAAGCTAGTACTATATTTTTAGCATAGCTAAATATAGAGCTCTTGCAGGCTACCTTACAGGCTATTTTATAAGCTACCTTGCGGGCTATTTTATAGCTACCTTAATTATAATAATAAGCTAAAAAAAACTTTGTTAATAATAATTTATAACTTATTATAAGTTATAATATTTTTATTTTAAAGTATATAACTAGTAATAACTTATGCTAGTTTTAAAATAAAGTTATAGTTAATTTTAAACATGCCTGTAAAAGGAATACTTATAGCTAGAAAATAGTAAAAAAGTAATTACTTTAGCTTGTTAATAAATATTTTAAATAGCTTTGTGTTAAAGTAATAAAAAAAAATATACTAGTAATAAGTATATAAAAAATATTTTATAAACCTTCGCGCTTTATATTAATAAAATTAAAAAAAAAAATATTTTAATAAATAAAGTATTATCTTACAGGCAGCTAATTATAAGGCTATATATTAATACTAGGAAAATTTATTAATAAATTAGGTAAAAAAGCGGCTATTTATAAAAAAAAATATTAAATTAAGGCTATATAAACTCTAGCTAGTTAAACTTTTATATAAACTTTAGTTATATTATCTCCTACCACTACTTAAATTAATATTACTTATTTAAAGGCTGGTTTTAAAACTCCTAGCTAGCCATTAATTATTTTTTTAAAGGCTACCTAGGAAACATAATTTAACCACTAAATAACCCCTTTTTAAGTAAATTTTATAAATATTTTTAGTTACTTAATCCCTAGGTATTTTTAACTAGGCTCCGCGGAGCTAAATCTAGTTAATTTTTAGGTAAAAATAAATTATATAAACTATTAGTTAAAAAAGCTATATAAGGTTTAAAATTAAATATTAGGCTTTATAAAATACTTAAATAAATACTTTACCTAAATATTACTTTATTATTATTAATTAAATATTAAATTACTAAGATATCTAGTTTTCGCGGAGGCATGTTATTATATTTATTAAAAAAATAGTTATTTTATATTTAGCTATAACTAGAATTAATTTAACGCGCTAGTATAGCTTAAATATAATAAATTTTTAATTTTTTAAAATTAAACTAAAAGCCTGCTTTACTAATATATATAATATTAATAAATATATATTAAATGCAGCTTGCTCTAAAAAAATCTTGCCTTTAATTTAGTTATATAAAATAATAATATTATATTTACTTTTATAAGCACTATCCCTATATAAATATAAAGGTTTTTAGCCTTTATTTAACTACCTTAAGTATTATTTAATATTACTTTAACGCTATATACTAATATTATTAATTTTATTTTTATACAGGCCCTAAAGCAAGAAAATTAAGTTATTAAGTATAATAAGACCTTAATACTTTATTTTATAAAGCTTTTTATATTTAGAATAAAAAAACTATTAATTATTAATTAGCCTATATATAAACTAAAACATACTATTTATAAACCCTTAAATATAAGTAACTTTATTATATAAAATAGCTAGCTTATAAGCTCTTATATAGGTTAATAAATAATATTAATAAAGTATATTTTTAAAACGCTTAGTAATATAAAAAAAAGTATTAGTATAAATATATAATAACTAGCCTTTACTTCTCCTAAAAAAGCTCTCCAAGGTCTTTGTTTTATAAAAAAAAAAGACATGTTAATACTAAGTAAAAGGCAAGCTTAAAATTTAGCGTGTTTTAATATTAATATTTAATTTTTTTAAGGTAAAAAAAAGGTATAATCTAATAAATTTCCCGGGCGTTAAAGCTACTTTAAATTAGCAAAAAATCTTTATATAAAAAAAAGTACTTTT